TAGTAGTAGTAGTAGTAGTAGTAGTAGTAGTAGTAGTAGTAGTAGTAATAGTTGTAGTAGTTTTGGTGTCGCACATGAGTCCGTTTTGGTGTCGCAAATGAGCCCTTTGCCCATGCGAGTGTTGGAGATTGTGCCCTTGCAGAGCATGGAAATTGGGATGATCAGTCCCCTGAAGTTTTTCTTCTTTGCTGCGTGCTTGCTTGTTTATGGCTGACAACAACCGAGCTTGCACTGCTGCACTCTCTTTTGAGGCCACAAACCAACAAACTTCGGAGGAAAAGTAGCTTGCCAACCTGCCTTCTTGCCCTGTGGGTCACCCATGGGTCACCCATGGGTTTCCATGGGTTTCGCCTTCTTTTGAGAGACATGTCAACCCTTCATTCCGATGCCAGGAACTTGACAGAAAACGTGTCGGAGTCAACAAGACCCAAGGTGCCAAGGGCCTGGACTGGGCGGGGAGCCGACGGGGGATATATAGGTGAGGGATGGTGGGCCTGGTGGGCTATGACGGTGAGACAGACACCTCTTCTTGTTGCACATGCTAGTGGAGAACATGAGGTTCTGCGATTCTTAGCCGTCTCAGCATTTGAGTTGCTGAAAGACTCGCCTCGTTCCTGCGGTGACATATTGCCTTTCCTGGACTCAAAGGGTTATGATATGTTATGATATAAGGAGACTCTGCCGTATGTTCTGGTTCAGACATATGACAGAATTGCAGGGCATTCCGAACTAAAACGAGTTGAGGGGAAGTGGTCAAGAGGTGGATGATGTTCGATGTGTTCCTTCAAGGAGCCACCGTTGGACATATGAGCGTATAGTTTATAGGAGCATTGGAGGCCATCGCTATTAGGTTGGAGGCCATTGCTATTAGGTTCCTTTTGTTGGAGGCCGTCGCCATTATTGAAGATTATTCTACAAGGTCTAGCTCCTTCAGGTTAGCCGGGTGAAGTTCAACTTTAGAACAGGTCGCTCAAGCCCAACGCAGCTTTTCTACGACTGCAGCAAGGTATTAAATGCCTAGCTTTCGTCCCCCTTGGGACTCTTCAGGGCTTTGCAGCCGCAAATGCTGCGGTGATCAATCACATGCCTAGGCATCGCGCATTCAATAACCTAGGCAAGTGCAAACTGGACAATCGCATGCCTAGGCAAGTGCAAATTTGGACGAAGCCAGCAGAGAGGCTCTAGCACTCCCCGTTCAATTCTGAAATCTGCAAGTCGTTCTCCATCGAAGCCAGCAAGATCGTCAAGTGGTGAGAGAACTTCGTCAAAGAGAGTCAGTTTTGAAGGGAAGAGTGGTGGCAAGGGCAAAGAGAAAGCGAAAGGCAAAGGCAAAGGCAAGGGCAAGCAGAAGCGAAAATAGCATATCGCAAAAGAGGCCGGTGTTACTGGCAAGATGCCGACTGCTGTAGCATTGATTTTTACAAGTTCTGTGTCGTGCAAACTTTCAGAGCTCGTTTTTATTCTTTGTTGCGCAGGCAGGCTTACAAAGGAGTTCTGTTAGATGAGCAGCGAATTCCTAGAGACACATAGCACACTGGAATGCACTTAGCATCACGCCGTGAACATAGGCCCAAACCGAGGTGTCCAAAACGGCGCGCTTTACTTTTCATGGTAGCGGAGCTCTGTGGGTAGGCCCCACATCTCCAGATAACCTTTGGGGATAATCCACCGGAAATCCATCAGTCTGTCGAAATCCCGGACAGACTAGTATCCGGGTCGCGCTCATGGCTGGTCTGGTTGATGACGCTGGTGGACCAGCGGCTGAGCCGGCATCCTCCACGGGTGCCGTGACTGGGGTGCAAGGGCTGGTGCAAGCGCTGCATGGGCTGATCGAGGTGCAGCGGAATTCTGGGTTTGTCAAGCACTTGAAGCCCCCTACGACCTTCTCCCCAGAGAATAGAGGTGAAGAGTTGAACAGGTGGATGGATTGGCGGTTTCAGTTTGAAACATTTGTTGGGGCAGTCGACCCAACCATGCTGACTCACATGAAGAACGCTGAAAAGGAAGAGTCAGCGATCAACGACGGACTCCCTACGGTGAGACCCCAATCTGAGAGGTTGTACTCATTGTTGACAGGCCTCATGAAGCAACGGCCTTTGCGTTTGGTGCGAGGTGTTGATGGACAGAACGGCTTGGAGGCCTGGCGGGTGCTCACCAAGGACTTGCAGCCGCGAACACGGCAGCGGTCATTGGCCCTCATCCAAGCCCTGAACAAGGTCCAGTTCGATGGAGGCAGAACAGTGTCGGAGTAACTCCCGCAGTATGACCTGATGGTGAGGGAGTATGAGAGGAGCGCCAATGTGACCTACCCGGACGACTTGAAGATTGCCTCGGTGATAGCAGCCTTGCCCGCCACACTCAGGCTCCACGTGCAGATGACGTTGCAGGACGATACGACCTTTGAAGACTTGAGGCAACGCATCGAGATGTATGAGCAGGTGAGCCAACGATGGATGAGTGATGGCGCAAGGATGGAGGCAAGAAAGGCGGTAAAGGAGGAAAGGGGTCAGGAAAGCAGGATGGAAAGAAAGGCAAGACCGGAGTTGGGAATTGCCACAACTGCGGCAAACCAGGGCATTTTGCTCGTGAATGTTGGGCCCCCAAGAGAGTGAGCAAGGTAGAAGACCAAGAAGCTGCAGAGGTCAACAAGAATGGACAAGGCAGCCAACAAGGAAAAGATCAAGGCCAAAGTGGTGGAGCGTCAACTGGCCCGTCGTCCCACTCCACTTATCGAGCTGGAGTCAGGAGGGTGAGGCTAGTCACGCGTACAGGCTTGGCGACTATGGAGATCTTCGATTTGACCCAGGATGACTCGCCTGATGAGCCGGTCCAGTCAGAAGATGAGGAGATGGCATGGGCCATCAACATGGTGATGGAGGTGCAGGACAATGCACTTGAGGAGGAAGAGGTCTTCTACGACTGCCACAGTGGAGATGAGGATGAGCCGCCAAGTACTTCATCGTTGGAGGAGACAGTGAGCCATGATGCACGAGCCCAATGTGAGGACATGGAGTTGGACACATCCAGAGTGTGCATGGTGAAGAGTGTGGCGCCCACAGTCATTATGACCCTCGACTCTGGAGCAGATGTTTCTGTTGCACCTGAGGAGTACTATCAGATGGGTCAACCAGGACAGCAACGGTCAGTTCAGATGGTCGATGCACAAGGAGAGGCCATCAAAAGTGCTGGGAACCGCAGGTTGAGACTTCAGGCTCACACTCGAAGTGGAGAAATGGTGGAATTCGTGGAGCAATTTGCGTTGGGAGTCGGAGTGACACATCCATTGCTAAGCTTTGGTCGACTCCTGAGGCAAGGATGGGTGCTGTCGCGTGATCAACAAGGTCTATGTTTGGAGCACCCTGAGAAGAAGATGCAGATCCCGGCCAGACTCGAAAGGAACTCTCTGGTGATGGATGTGAAGGTCTGTGCAATTCGAGCTGAAGAAGATGTGGACGAAGAGCAGAAGAAGGAGATTGAGGCCATGGCAGCAAACGACAGAGCCCAAGCCATGAACGAAAGTGAAGAAAGAAAGGAGGAGAAGAAGATTCCCGAGGAGGCGGAAGCAGATCGAGGAGTGAAGAGAAGTGTTGAGGAGCAGATAGAGTTGGAGAAAGTAGCCAAGGAGGAAGACGAGACCTTGGCAGTGGCAGTGATGAAGGAGCTCTCCGAGCAGGTGGTGACGGATGATGATGTTCACGTGGAAGAGAACCCCATGAAGAAGTCAAGACTAAAGGAGAATGAAGACATCCCACAACGTTCACCTGGCTACACCACTGAGGAGTCAGGAGGCGAGATCATGGTTGAAGGAAGCAGCAGTGAGGATGGAAGAGTGCAGGAGAAGATGGCTCGATGGGAGAAGTGGCGACTGAAGAAGATTGAGGTCAAAAGCGAGCCAATGGAGTTGACAGATAGCCCAATGGAGGAATTGATGGAGGCCGGACAACACGTGTTCCCTGTTCGAGGAGAAGGGCATTCACTGCAGGGCTTCATTTCAAGAGAGCTAGGCCTACTGGAGAAGGTGCCCGGATGGCATGCTTTGCCAAATGGGATAGTGGTGCACTCGAGTCCACAAGCCACCCACTTCCTTGACCCAAGCATGTCCTTTGGTCCTGAATGGTGTGGACGCATGACACTCGTGAAGAAGAAGGACAATTCAGGTGCTTGGGAGCAGATCGAAAGCCTAGCTGCATACAGGGACACACCATTGCCTTTTCGAGCCCTACCGGCAGGTCCAAGGTCAGCTTTGACGTTTGTGGCCCCAGGACTGATTCGGGACTACTTCGTGTTGAACTCAGAGGTCCCAGTGAGCCAGTATCCACTATTGAGTGGAGAGCCATCATCCTGGCCCGATGATGAAAGGGATGAAGAAGGAGGAGAATTTCCTATGTTGGCAGCAGGCAGTGGAGGACGGGCAGAGATCCTGGAAGATGTAGAGTTCGTGGATCCTGACGAGCTGAGAGTGCAGATCGATGAAGCATGGTTTGACAAGGAGACAAAGTTGAAGGATCTTCAGGAGATCTGCAAGCAGCTCGGATTGGCCACATCAGGGTCCAAGACTAAAGTCCTGAGGAGGTTGCAACGATTTAAGCATCAGCAGGAGGAGAAGATGGCATATGAAGTTGCACAAAGACTGTTCGCTGAAAGCAGAAGAGAAGCCATCCCTCTGAAGACACCAAAGTTGCCCTCTCGACATGAACAAGAATTGCGCCAGTTGACACATCTCCCATTTCAGCCGTGGTGTCAGCAATGCGTGGCAACAAGACCAAAAGAGGACCCACGAATGAAGGAAGATCGAAGTGACAGGAAAGACAGAGGCCGACCGGTGATCAGCTTTGACTATGGGTTCACTTACACGGCCGATGCACCAGAAGAGAAGCAATGGGGTACTGCCTTGTACGTGGCTGAATCAGAGTCCAAAGCCACGTTGTGCATTCCCGTACAGGCAAAAGGAAGTGCGTCTTTGAAGCAGGTGACGGAGGAGCTGACAAGATTCAGTACGCAGGTCTGCAACACCCAACCCATCATCTTCCAGTCAGATGGGGAGAGAGCCACTCGACAAGTGCTCAGGGCAATTCAACACGCCCGTGCATCTCTCGGCCTCACCACAGAGGTAAGGATAACTTCGAGAGACCAGCATGCCTCCAACGGTCAGGCAGAGAGAACAGTCCAGTCTGTCCGCAAGCTGGCTAACACGTTGAGGCAATATGCAGAGGAGAAGAGTGGCGTGAAGATCACTGGAGACATGCGTTGTTATCCATGGAGCTTCAGGCATGCAGCCTGGTTGATGCTTCGATATCGAGTGATCAATGGAGCCACGTCCTTTGAGATGCTCACAGATCGTCAATATGTTGGCAGGGTGGCGCTATGGGGTGAGACCGTGCTCTTCAAGGATGTCACCTCTTTCAAGCACAAAGGTGAACCTGTCTATCGACGAGGTGTCTGGGTTGGAAAGAGTTCATGGAGCGATAGCCATATATGCCTGACAAGGTCTGGAGCAGTAGAGGCCCGTTCCATCAGAAGACTTCCAGAGCAGTTTGATGGCCAGATGCTGATCCACTGCCGTGGACTCCCGTGGCAATACTCGGTCCAAGGCCTTCTCATGAAGACCAAGTTCGCGGCAAGACAACGCTTGGCTGAGGCAGCCGAAGAAGCCACACGTGAAGGGCAAGTGGAGAAGGAAGCAAAGGTAGTTGGTGAAGAGGTGGCCATGAGAATGTATGGACATGGTCCTATCACACCAGGTCCTGCTCCAGAAGGCTATCCAAAGACACCGGCCAGGACACCTGCAGCTCCAACACCAGCAAGCAAGACACCGGCACTACGAACACCAGTGGTTATGCCTATGCCTGCAACACCGGCACGTCCAGTGCCCAAGACCCCAGTGGCACCAGAGCCGCCAAGAGAAGCCATGAGTTCACCCTCAGGTCCAAAGGAGGCACACCAGAAGCTTCCAGTGGAGGAGACAGACGTCCCAAAGCGAAAGATGGCAAGGTTGCCAATCCCAGAGGCAATGCGAGGTGAACCTGCAAGGAACTTCATGTCAGAGGCATTGGAGTCTGAAGCAAGCCCAAAGAAGCAGAGGTTGGAGGAGATTGTGGGCAATCTGGCACCAGTCACCCCGCCATTGGGCACGAAAAGAGAGTATGCCTTGCCTTGGGATGACGAGGATGACGAAAAGAGGAGGATGAGCCCGAAACGAAGAGTGAACAGCATCCAAGAGGATTTCCCAGGTGGAGATGAGATGACTGGAGAAGCTATCTTGCAAGAGGAGCTCAACCAGATCAGCGAGGATGAAGGCGAGGAGAAAGGAATTGGCAAGCCACCTGAGGTCGATGAGGAAGAGCTAGCAAGGCTGGACGCTGAAGCACGCAGGCATGAAGAAGAAAGGTTGGAAAAGATGGGCGTCCTCGAAAAGCTGAAGGAGAATGAACAAGCAGAAGAAGGATCCTATGTGCTGACATCAAAGATGGTCATCACCTGGAAGCACAGGGACGAGAAAGGAGGCTGGTTCAGGAGAGCAAGGTTGGTTGGAAGGCAGTTTAAGTGGTCAGTCTTTACTGAAGATGCCTTCGCACCAACATCTGCATCAGTGATCGTGAGGATGCTCCTTCGACTGCAGATGAAGAGTGGACTGGCACTTTACACTCTTGACGTGAAAGATGCATTCCTACTGATGGACCAGCCAGAAGACGAGAAAGCGCTGGTGGTGACTGCAAATGGTACCTACCGGCTGAAGCGAAATCTACCTGGACAACGAAATGCTGCCGCCCAATGGTTCAAGGGTTTCTGCAAGGTTGCAACAGAGTTTGGATTGGTGCAAGACACGATGCAGCCTACCATGATGAAGAAGCCAGAAGCACCTAACGGCAGTGAGACAGGTGGAAAGCTATACCTCACAATCCACGTCGATGATTTACTTCTGGTTGGCGATGAGCTGGAAGTGGAGAAGTTCATCAGCTACATGGGAAGCAAAGGCTGGAAGACAGAGAAGCGAGGTCCACTCTACATGGGGAGCTTCAGTTACTTGAAGCGAGAGATGGAGTTGATTGAGGCCAGACAAGCAACACATCAAGGAACTGGCCAAACTCACCAATGTGGAGCACCGGAAGCATCGAACGACCCCTGGTGATGGAACCTTCAACCGACTGAGCAAAGATGATGAGCCCATGAAGTATGAGGACATCACCAAGTATCGAAGTTGTGTGGGAAAGCTGCTATACATCTCCCCTGATCGTCCTGACGCCCAGTATGTTGCCCAGGGCTTAGCTGGTTTCATGCAACAGCCAACAAAGAAGAGCTGGCAAGCCATGCAACACGTGAGTTCGTATCTCCTGGGGACTATGGACGAAGGACTGTTGTTCGAGCACCCTCCCAGAGGAAGAAGCATGCTAAATGATGATGACAACATCTATGAATGGGATCTCAATGAAGAGAAGAAGAGCATGCTGGAGGTGGTGTGTGACGCCGACTACGCAGGCCAGCGAGACACAAGGAAGAGTGTCAGTTCAGTCCAGATCTACCTGGATGGATGTTTGCTGGAGAGCTATGTGAGAAGTCAAAGAGCCATTGCACTTTCGTCAGGAGAAAGCGAGTATGTGGCCATGGTCGGTGGATGCAGTGAAGGACTCTTTCTGAAGCACTGCTGGAAGTTCTTGACCAACGAAGACCTGGACATGATTTGCCGGAGTGATTCATCAGCGGCTCGGGCTCTTGCAGGTCGAGTTGGAGTGGGGCGTACACGCCACATTGCAGCTGGTTTGTTGTGGCTTCAGCAGAAAGTGGTTGCAAAGGAGTTGAGGATTACAGGCATCCCCACAGCCGTCAACACCAGCGACATTGGAACCAAGATTTTGAGCAGGGCAAGAATGAGTGGCCTGAAATTCCTGATCAAGATGGTCGACATGGATGACGAAAAGATTGGGAAGCAGCAATATGAAGAGATAAAGGCCAAGGAACAGCTGAAGAAGAACGCAGGAAAGATGGCAAAGATGATGGGTGCAAATGCTAAGGTGGCCCTGGTGATCGCTTTGTCATTGCTACAAGGAGGCCAAGGAGCGGAAGTTGAGCGCCCAGAAGAAGGTGAAGATGGAAGTGATGAGGCTTGGTGGATTCGGCCATTGATCACCATGATCTGTTTGGCAAGCATTGGGGCCTTGAGCCTGGCACGAATGGCCATCGGGGTCATGACGACATGGTGGCATGGAAGACGAAGCCACGAAGAGCCCATCGAGGAGAATGAGAATGAAGGAGATGTGAATGTGGTCGCAAGACCGCTTGTGAGAAATGAGACAAACACAGATGAGGTTCAAAGGGCACACCTTCGGCAAAATGAAGATGAAGAAAAGGTCAACATGCAGTGGCAAATCGTTCGTTTGGAAGTAGCCATTGCTGAGCATGAGGAGAAGCTGACAGATGCCCGATGAGATCGAGACCTACAAGCAAGAGAAGTGGTGCGCATGTACAACATGTGCTCTGAGCTGCGCTTCGAGCTGGAGAATGTGAAGGAAGAAAGAGATGAAGCCAAAAGAAAGGCCATCAGGTTGGCCGGAACAGATGATGAGAAAGCAATGGAGATGGAGAGAATGGCAGAAGACACTGCCAAGGCTTGGGAAGTGGCCGAGCTGTGGAAGAAGAGATCAAAGGAAACCGAGAACGAAGCAAAGCAGCAGATGACTGAGTTGCTGCAGAACACACGTTTCACCTTAGAGAGACAACACTGGCACATGGCAAGGACAAGTACGTGCTACCATCATGAAGGATGTGGGCATTTGGCCAACAGCGCCACAGCACGAACCATGAAGCCGTGCACGCATTGCATTCCAGATGCTATAAGGGCGGTGTTAGATGAGCAGCGAATTCCTAGAGACACATAGCACACTGGAATGCACTTAGCATCACGCCGTGAACATAGGCCCAAACCGAGGTGTCCAAAACGGCGCGCTTTACTTTTCAAGTTCACAATTTAGTTCCTTCAGATGTGCTTTGTGTCCCAAAGTTTGTCCTCCTGCATGTTGCAAGAAGTGGCAAGTTCATTCCTACAAGGAAAGCTACCAATGTCAAAGACATTTTGTCGGGCTTGGATGCTTTGAAGCGGCAGTTGCTTCTTTGCAGAGTCTTTCAAGGAAATGCTGCGTGCGTGTCAAAATGTCGTTTGAAAAGCACGTGGCAGCCACCAGGCAGTGCAGGCGTTGATGCCTTCGCCCAGTTTGAACCTAAGACCTTCAAATCCAATCAGTCTTGGTTTGACAGAAAAGCCAAGGCCTGGTTGCGACAACATGCGGATTTGGTTGCAGTTGTGGATTGCGACAAAGGGCTCGGAGATGGTTTAGTTCTTCGGTCATGGCTTGTTGAACAAGTTCAACTTCAATTGGCTCAGGGATATGTACAGTTGAGTCCGGTGGAGTTGCAAAAGAAAGTTGCTGAGCTAAAGTTCGGCGCTGATGCCATGGTGCAGTTTTTCTTTTCTTCTGGTGTGCTTTCTTTGGCTGAGCGGGATTTTCTACTCAGCAAGTTTCAGGTAAGTGCTGTTGGAATCTTCCGCATTTTAGTTAAGGTGCACAAGCAACCAGTTTCTTCCAGGCCAATTTGCAATGTACGTAATAGTTGGTATGGACCTTTTTCAACTTTTTTTGGTGGAGCGTTTGGGGCCACTTATGCCTCAGTTGGACTCTGTCATTGTTTCTTCAGACCAACTTTTGCAGCAGCTGAAACCGCTTCGGTGTGATGCCGCTATGAGATTTGTCACGCTTGACATTGTTAACCTGTATCCTTCGGTGGATAGGAAGCATTTGATGTCTATTGTGGGCCCTTTTGTGAGGCAATCATTTAACCATTCAGCGTTGGGAGACTTCATTGTCAAAGCTTTGGAGTTGGTGCTGGAAGCTTGCGTTGTTTCTTTTCAAGGGCTTCTTTTTGAGGCGCAAGATGGCATTCCAACAGGTTTGTCAGTTGCTGGCATTCTCGCAAACATTTACTTATGGCACTTTGACCGATACGTGTCACGAATGTGTGGCTGCGATTTGCAGATCCTCAGAAGGTACATTGATGATCTTTTGCTTCTGTGGGCTGGTGACGTGCAAAGTCTGGTTGAAAAGGCGGAAGGTTGGCATCCTTCGCTGAAGTTTCAGGTTTCTGGTGAAATGGAAGTTCCCTTTTTGGACTTTCACCTCAGCATTCTGCCCAATCGCCGTGTGCATTGGAAGCTGTTTGAGAAACCCCAGAACCTGTATCTTTATGTGCCGGCTTTTTCGAATCACCCTGCCAGTACTTTTGCAAGCCTGCAGCTAGGAGGAGCGATTAGATGTGAAAGGCGGAACCGTCTTTTTTTCTGACTATGCTGCAAGCATTCGGTCTTTCAGGCGTCGATTGAAAGATAGGGGCTTTGACCTTGCTGGCTTTGATTGTTTGTTAGCTCGCTACAGAGCAAAGCGGATGAGAAGGCATGCTGCACCTGGTTTGGTACGGAAAGCCTTTTTGAAGCTGCCATACAACAAAGACATTTCTGCCAGTTGGGTTTCCCAAAAGCTCCGACAATTTGAGCCATTGCTGCGCCAAAGTGTTCCAGCATTGAAACTCACCACAAGCTGGAGCGTTGGGCGCAGCTTGTTCCAAAGTCGGTACAAGCAAGTTTGGAAATTTTTGGTCTAAGGGTTTGGCTGTGGGAGGGACCAAAAATTTTTTTCATGTCCAGTTTGCACTTGCCTAGGTTATTGAATGCGCGATGCCCGGGTCCTACTATCCAAAGCTTCTCCGTTCTTTCGACCTCGCAGCCATTCTGTCTCAGAATTCGAGAGGTGATTCCATGTTCCAGTGACCAGTAAGTTCAGAAGGGGTCTAAAGCCCAGAAAACGTACGTGAAGAGTAAAGTCCAAATGCAAGATCCTTGGCATTTGATGCCATGGCCTCTGCTGTGCTCCAGTTCTTCAGGGGTGCGATGCTTGGCTGCGGGGTTTCTGGTTTCATTGATCGAGGGTTCCTCCCTGATATATAAAATGTCTTGGCAACAAGTTGGATGATCACCCCAGCTCTAGAAGTTATATAACATTTATATAAAAAGGGATTTCATACGTACTCAGCTGCTTTGACAACCTCTTTGCTGCAGAAGGGGCTCAAGACGAGCCCGGCTGAGGAATCTGTCGCCATGGGATTTAGATGAGAAAAGTGCCCCAAAGACGATGACACTCTCAATGTTTGGACAACAACAACGATCAGACTCATTCACATTCTGGAAGATTCTAATGCAAGAAAACACATATCCAGAGAGTCATTCTTATAATTAGGATTATATTAATTAGGTGCATTCACCATATCCTTAAGCTGCTAAGCCTTAAGCGATAGCCATTTAGGAGCAAACTTTGGCGCTGTGGCCGCCAGTGGCCCTCCAAAATGATCATTCTTTCTAGACAGATTGGAGTAGAGAGCTGCACCACATCTGTCATGTCAGTCACCCCAGAAGTTCCGATTCCATGACCTGCCATGGTCTTTGCTTTGCGCTGGTCGTTTCTTTGGGTCGCCAGCGCCCTGGACTGTGCTTGGATCGGCAAGCGGCCGCGTGCGGCCGTGGACGCAACATGTGTCCGGCTGCCGATGAAGGAAGCTGCTAAAGTAGCACCTGAGGAGCGTCGGGAGAGCGTGAGGCAGAGTCCGTGGCGCGAGACGGGGATCTCATGGGATCTGTGGGGTTGCGAGACGGAAGGTTTTGCAGAAGAATGGAGCGGGTGAGGATGTGGGCCTAGGCTAACTCTCCACCTGTGGCTACCAGTTCTTAACTCATATCAAAAGATGTACAAAGACTCAAGTCGAAGGAAGATGCTTGTGAGGGGTGAGGTCTGGGTAGGCAAGTGAGTAAGTGCGCGCATAGAGACAAACGTGGGAAAGAGGGATCGATGGCCATGGGCAGTGCCTGGGTGGAATCTCCAAGGTTGGACATGGTCGTACTATGGATCGAGTTTGTGAAACTAACGGTCCGTTCGATGACATTGTATGGGTGGCCAAGCAAAACTGACGTAGAAACAGGTCAAGGATGGGCCCGTGCCATTCACTCATGCTCTACTACGCTGAGCCCATCCTCGTCCTGTCATTACAAAGAAATCCCAGGTATGTCCATGCCATGTGGATGTGAGAAAGACTGTATGCGCTCTTATGACGCTATTGGTGCAGCTCCCGATAGGTTCCCCTGATTCCACCTCGGTGTCGCTTCGGAAGGGCAGGAACCTGCACCCAACGGGATTAGGTTGGGGCTGTTTCCTGGTGTTTCTGATTGAAAGGATGGAAGCCATGGAGCCATTGTCAGTTCGTGACACACTGAGCCGTAGCAGCAGCAATATCCCTGACAGCTAAAGACATATCATAATATTTACCCCATCGGCCATCGGTGTCTTCTTTTTTGCGCGGCCCCTTTTTGCCGCCTCCCGTTTTCCGAGGCAATTCCTTAGGTCGGAGTGCCGACACTTTGCGAAACGTGACGAGGACTTGGCGGAAGCATTGTTGTTCTTCCCAGAGCTCAGGGAGCTTCACCTCTCCTGGCTCCAGTTGGGCGATCAGCGCCTCGAGGAGATCGCCCAAGTCTTCCGGCGCCCCGGACGCGACGGGGTTTTGGTGGCTTTGCGTGCGGAGCCAGCGCCGTGTTGTGGTTTGGAAGTGCTGAAGTTTGGACTGTGACATGTGGGTGGTGCTAGCTTGTCTTAACATGCGTTATTACATGTTATTACTAAATCACTTGTTGCTTTCATCTGTCAGCCGTTTTTTTTGACGACACCTTTGTATGACGGTGTTTCTTGGAGCTTTGCAGATTCAGGAATCGCCGAGAAGAGATGCAGGCAAACTAGCTACGAGCGGACAAGAGTACTATACGTTCTAGGAGTGCATCCAACCGACTTCTCGCGAAGTGGTGTCGCTGATTCTACAGGGCAGTCTCATTGTATCTAGTGTGTGTGAGCTTTACGGGTCCCTCAACGCGTCCACAACAAGTTTAACAGCAACACTTGTCAAGCAACATGACTCGTCCATCAACTTGACCTCACAAGACCAGTCTACCACCTGAAAAAATCCTGAGAACTGTTCAAAGTCTTGAGGCGCGGGCAGCACCGTGCCTTGGAGCGCCTCTATTTGGCTCACAACAACCTGGGGATCTCAGGCCGGGCTTGTATATCATGTGGATGAGAACTGTTTGGTGTTTTTCAAAGAAGGAGGCCCCCACAAATCACGGAACTTACAGTGAATGAAGTTATACAATATTCATCCGTGTTAACTGTAGTATAAGGGCCTCTTGTTTTTTTTTTTTTAAATCTTTTTCCTAGCCATGTTCTTACGCATTTCTCTCCAACAAGCAGGTCGGCAGAGGTTCGCAGTTGGCAATGCTTTTGGGACACCTCTATACTTTTCGACTTCTGGACGCTTTGCATCTGGAAGTCGGCATCCAGCC